AATGTGGGCAACGGAACAGCCCCCTGCTGCTCTGTCCACTCTCTTGCCTGGTTGGGGGAGAACTAGAAGGAAATGGGGGTCCAACTGAGCCAGGACCACTGGGCTTGGTGCTCCCTGAAAGACACATAGGTGACAATGACACTATCCCACGAAGGGAAAGGTTTATCCAAAAATCTTTGTAACACAGTGTGGCTTCTAACCATGCCATTACCAGATGCCTTAATTTTCTCATTGGTGAAGTAGGAATGGAAACATTACATTTTCAAATCTAAAGGACTTCAAATTCCAAGAGAGGTGTTACATAAGTATTTCTAGTAGCAGTGGCATCTTCTAGCACCCCACATGACTGGTAGGTCTGCTATATGAACGCAGTAACTAACTTCTAGGAGCATTTTAGATGATCTCCCAAGAAACACCAATTCTTTAAATCAGTTTACAAGGACAGTTATGAACCCGCCCTAGGTTTGAACATCATTACCATAGAGCGCTGGGAGAGAATAAGGCACCAATCAGGTAACGGTAGGTAATGGGAGGAAAATGGGCCATAGGGTGAGTGGGGATCTTGGTCCCCGAAATCCTATGTGCCTCACAGGCAGGGAAGGCATGCTTAAGACACTAGGGAGGACTCCTTTTCACAGGATGGCTTCAGTGAACACACAGAGCCCACACTTGGTTCCCGCGTCTTAAATTGGAAAGGGGACAGGTGACAATACGGGAAGTGGGCAGAGTGGTCAGGAAATCAGACAGTTCTGTGCTCTGCCAGCTCTGAATCTATCAAGATAAGAAGACGGGCTCATTTACCATTTTCCTAGGATTTTCCATCTTGCATAAGAAACAGTACGGGCACCAGTTACAAAAAAGTGATCAGAGGCTCCAGGGAAAAAGGAACCCATGGGTGGCCCAACTTCCTTCACAGTATGGTTTCTTTCAGGGCAAGCGGGGGAGGCTTGTCCCGCAAAACCGACAGCGGGGCCACTTTCTTGGAGAGTTGAGGGAAAACAGTTTTCTGACGTGATCAATAGTTTAGAGACAAGAGATGCTGAGGATGGCATGGTGGCAAAATTAACCATAGGCGTCCCAAGGTATTTATAGCTCCAATCAAAAGGTACAGCCAATAACAACATTAAAGACGTGTAAAAAGTGACAAAGAATAGGCCCCTGTGTACTATGACCCAGCCTAAGAAATAGACCACTGACTGTACAGGGAATGTACCGCTACCAGTTAGTATTTCTACCATTGCTTTTCTGACTTAACCGTCATTGTATTTTTGGTGTTAATTCCCATGTGGTTGTTTTTTTTGTTGTTGTTACATGTTAATCACATATGTGCATATCTTTAAGCAATACATAGAATTGTTTGCATGTTTTAAAACTTTTTCCAGTTACATTTTAATGAATAGCTTTGAAGCCGGGGGGTGGGAAGGGGGAAGGGGGATATTATACAAACATTAGTTGTCCTGTATGTCAATTCAAATATTATAATGAAACGTGTTCATGTCAGTGGTTTATAATATACTCACTTTATTGTTAAATATAAAATCTCATATTAAATACCATTCAATTTTGCACTGAAACTGAAAGGCACTTAGGGCTATACTTGTCAGTAAGTCAATAGAAGCATAAAACTCATAGGCTAGGTCGACATTAAAAGACAGCACAGACTATCATTTGAAAACTGATTCTATCACCCACAGAAAGCATGAAACTTAAATGAAATTTTTTTTTTTTTCGTGTCTCAATATTTCTGGGTAGCAGATGCTTTCTCAAAAACAGATTTTACTTTTAAAAATATCAAATATAATTAACACCTTGAACACAAAATGAAATCTTTGCTTCCAGATGCATTTCAAGGTGTTGAAATGAATCTACGCAGCCCTCTGTGGCTGGGAGTTTCCGCCGACTTACTGAATCTGCTGCCACTTTTATGTGGCGCAACTGAAGAACTGAGAGTGAGAGCAGGGCACTTAACCTTGACTGTGTTTGAAGGACGCTTATTAACACAGGTGCATTTTGAGAAAGGTCTCTTGGCCTATTCCTGATCAACACGGTGTAATGAGTAGGGTAAGAACTAGGTGCCCTGTTATTTTATGATAGAAAGATCTAGCCAGAGCATTACCTAGATCAGTGGTCGGCAAACTGCGGCTCGCGAGCCACATGCGGCTCTTTGGCCCCTTGAGTGTGGCTACGAAGTTTCAATCGCACTGTATGTGCATGCCCGCACGTGGTATTTTGTGGAAGAGCCACACTCAAGGGGCTGCAGTTTGCCGACACTGACCTAGATGAAGGAAATTTAGGGCAAGCATCATGGACACTGTATTGTGATGAATATAAATAAAGATAAAAAATTCTTGTTTTGAACATTACATGTCAAAAGTATTGGTCTTGTTTTCAACATTCAATTTTATTAAATTTATTCTTTTAAATGAAATTGTTGAACCGATTTTAATTTTAAATATCAGGTCTCTGGTGAGAGTAAGGGAAACAAAAATTACAGAGGCAACTTGTATTCTCAATTATTCTCTGAATTTAACAAACTATGGATTAACTTACTTAATAATACTTTGTTCCACCATAGCATGGGTGTTGGGAAGCGCATGAGGCACACACGCATACACACACAGAATTGTCTTTTCACGTGTTAAGAATTACACATTTACAAACTTTTTATTGCTTATTTGCACGAATACCAAATCTAACTATACAGTTTTACAAAGTGGTGACTTTAATGTAAATTTATTTTCAGGAAGGAATGCTGTCCACAGCAAAAGACAAAACTTGATTTGAGTTTGTGGGTGTAGAAAAACTCCGTACACAGGTAACTTTCAATACTATACTTGGCAAAATCAGGAAAATCCTATATAATAAAAGGCTAATATGCAAATTGTCCCCTGGGAGTTCGACCATCCACTATGACGTGTGCTGACCACCAGGGGGCAGCACAGAATGAAGGAAGGCCCCAGTCAGCAGCTGGAAGGCCCCGATTGGCCCTGATCGCTGGCCAGGCCTGGAGACCCTATATGTGCACAAATTTCATGCACCGGGCCTCTAGTATTTAAATGTTTAAAAGGTAGTTAATGCCGCTCCCTTACCCCCATCAATTAGCGAGAAAACATATGTGGATAGTTATTGTGAGCTCTAGCCCTGGCCAGGTAGCTCAGTTAGTTATAGCATCATCCCAATACTCCATGTTTGTGGGTTCAATCCCTGGTCAGGGTACATACAGAAGCAAACAATGAATTCATAAATAAGTGGTACAACAAATTGATGTCTCTCTCTCTCTCTCTCTCTCTCCCTCTCTCTCTCTCTCTCTTCCTCTTTCTCTCTCTCTCTCTCTCATCAATAAAAAAAAATGTGAGCCCACTGTTTTCAGGACAGAAAAACACAGTAAACTGAACCCTGTTTCTTGGCTGTGAGATTGTAATAGGATTTGAGAAGGCGTGGTCTCTGACATGGATCTTTGTGAGGAAGCAAGCTTACTGGTGCCACTCATCTCCTTAGTGACAAATATGCCCTGGAGAAGTGTCTAATAACCTGTGATGCGTGCTGATATCTTTACTTTTGCACTCCAGGGGAGCCCACCTGCCAGATGACAACTTCCACAGCATTGGATAGAAGGGACTTCCGAAATAACCCCCGAATCCTCTGGTTTGTGGGCGAGGAGGTAGTTTGTTCGGGGACTTCTCCACAGACTAGGTGTGATGTCCCAGCATGCATTTCGGATCCCACACTAGTTAGGAGAGGACTCTCTGTGCAAACATGGACCTGGTTGTGTCTGCTTCCTACTCTTTCTGCATTTAAATTCCCGGCCTTGTGGACCCTGAACTCCTGCTCTCGGTGACCCACAGCACCCCTGCGCCCAGGCCTCTATCTGCTCCCCTGACCTTGATCTATTGCCTCTTATGGTTTGCTACCTATCAGGGGCCCTTCTGGATCCTACACCATTGCCTGCTCTAGATGGGATGCCTCTAGACCACTCATGGCCTTGTCCCCCCTCCTCTTCCTGGCTGCTCCTCAGCTGCAGTGTATGGAAGTAACTCGTTTCAAAAGCCAGGAAAGTTACAATTTACCTGTCAGCAAACAGAAGATGGTTTATCAACAGACTTTACCTTAATGACTACAAATGTTTACCTCCTGCTTTCCAGAATGCAAAGAAAATCTTGGAAATGTCATAATATCTCGCAAACATTTGCAAAACAGATCCTTGTTCATCCGGAAAAGAAACCATTGTATTCATTGTCTCTTGACACGAGGCCAGTGTTCAGTGAGAAACAGACAGACAGATGCACACAATGACACAAAAAGGAGCTATGCTAATTAAAAAATGGCAGCGGGCACTTTATTAAAGATTTATTTTACAATCTCGCCGTTCAAAACATCTTTTACATCAACAAATGCAGGCAACCTGAGTATTGGAATTATAAGTGACTGATCTTGAAAATATTATATTTGTAGCTGAATCCAAATATGTTCAAGGACTATTTATATCAAAATGACTGGTTTTGTGAGAAGTATTTCGATTTCTCTGTTTTTGCCCATGAAAAAAAAAAAAAATTAAAACAGGTACCTCACCTTTCATTTGATGGGCAAGCTGGCCCACTCCGAGTATTCCCCATGTTTGTTTGGATTACAGCTGTTTATCTTGCAACTTTCTTTCAGATAAACGAAGCTCAAATGTAACTCTGGATCACGGAATACCTGACAGACCCCTTATGCATACCTTCACTTACAAACCCCTGTGCCAGGGAGTCATTCATTTGCTAAAGAAAAGTGCTACAGCAGCCCTTTGCCACAAACAACTCCGAGAGAGAGAGAGAGGCAGGCCGCCCATCAGTCCCGGGCATCCTGATCCCCCTTCGAGAGCCCTGGCCCTTGGAGGACACCGCCTATGATAACCTGGCACCCCAGGTAGAAACCCAGCCAAGTGCGAGCGTTTGAAGCTGCCGTTTGGCTGCCATCGTGTCGGCGAAAAGAAAGAATTCAGGCACCATGTCATCCAGTACAAAGGATAAAAACGGATTCAACCGGAAATTCAATGTGGCACCACATATGGGATACATGAGCGCGGTTATACAACAGGCCACATATTTTTTTTTGAACAGTCTCCTCCATGTGATGCCGAGGACATGTGTAACCATCATAACGTCTCTAGGAATCTGTGTTTAATTTGAGTCGGGGTGGTGGCAGGGATTGGAGATCTGAAGCCGCCACAGGTTTGTGGCAGATGGCTCTGTGTCAGCTATGACAAGCAGCCAGGCTCGGCTTCCTCTGCAGATTTTCTTTTCTCTCTGATCAGGTAAATATGGGCACACTCTGGAAAGTTCTACAGGCTCTGCCTTAGGCTGCGGGTTTGTGAGGGAGCCCCATCTGTCGCAAACCTTCCCCTGGTTCCGTGGCGAGCAGGGACCTGAACTTGCCACGCAGGGCTGCCCAGGAGAAAGGAGTCATCTCACCCTGCGAGGGGAAGGGAGAGAAAGAAGGAAGGGGCATGAAGGACCCAGAGACGAAAGCATGCTGGGCATTCATGCTGTACATTTGCATCACGGACATCAGTTGGATTTCAAAAAGCCACCCAGTAAATGGTTCTCTAGTTTTATCACCTCAGGAAATCCCAGTTTCTGATTGGTTTAAAGAAGAACTATTTCCAAGCGCAGGAGAAAGCTCCCATGTTTTTTTTGTTTGTTTTGTGTGTGTGTGTGTGTGTGTGTGTGCATGTGCGTGTGTGCGTGTGTGTGTGTTTGTGTGTGTTTTCAAATGTGTACTGTCTGCTGCCCATATACTTCCTGCTTTATGTGATGAATGACAGCTATTAGAAGTTTATCATCCAACTTTTAACTTTATATACACAAGATATACATGTTTTTGCTAATGTGAATTTTACTTTTAAGTGGTGAAGGCACAAGAGAAATGCCATTACAACTACGTGGAATTTACAAAGCACTTCAAGTTTACTAACAGGTTTATAGTCATTATTTCATTAGAGCAGGACCTCAGGGGGAAAATGCTATTAAGAATTAAGAAAAAAAAGCCTTCCGAGTTTACAGATGAATCATATAGGGGTTAAGAAGCTCACCTCGAGCGAGGCTGCAAGCAAGCAGCAGGGGACAAGGAGTCAAAATCGCTAAGTGATCTGGATCACCCAGAGTGTGTCTATTGTGCTAAAGGTTCTTTGCTTTTATTTCACTCAGACAAATCAAAGGATAACTAAGCCCCATAAAATCAAGGAAGGCAGTGCAGAAGGAGAGAGGGAGGAGTAGGGAGGACGGAGGAAGGGGACTGGCAGAATTCACCTTACATGATGCTCATGCTGCTGAGAGATTTGAGAAGTTCTAAAAATGGCACATGCTTTCAAGTTTCCATCTTTAAGGAAAAGGTAATGACTTTGGAGAGCTGTTAATATTAGTGAGCAACACCGTATTCACATCTAGAGTATAAGTTCAAATTAAAAGAGGACTATAATGTGGCCTGTCTCTTAAAGGAAGCTTAGAGTGGCTTGGCTGTGGTTCGGGTAGCTATGGCCTGATCCAATTAAGACAACCACTAATGGCTTTTCTGGGCACCGAGTCTGAATTATAAGCTTAATCATTGTTTGGATTCACTTTTAGGCAGAAATCAGATAATTCTTCTCTCCTCTGAATAACAGCAGGTTACAAAGATTTCTAGAATGTTAAAGAACTTGAAGAGGAAAAAAAAACCAAAACAACCAACAGCTATCTTCTGGAAAATCTTAAGAAACTACAAGTCACTTTCATAAGGCACAAGAAAGGCTGGCATCTCTTTTTATTCCCATACAGAAGATTGCTCAATTCGTAAATAAAAGTAACAAGAGATAGGACTTCTGTCTGGGAAGTACCTACATAGACAATTGCCCTATTTGTAATCTTGCTATTTTCAATACTGGTAACAAGGACATCTCCATACATCTTTTTTCTCTTAGAGCATTTTAAAATATAAAGATCAAAGGTTCTCTAAAAGCATAAAGCACTGATCTCAAATACTTGTTAGGAATATTTACAAAGAAAATTCACATAGTAAAATAAGGCAAAAAAAAATCTACAACTTCATGGCATTAGATTTGCTTGGGTTATAAAATGAAAAACTATTGTTAGTGTAACAAGTCAACCCTTGGCTAATTATTTTCTGATTATTTCTAGAATCTTGTGTTCAAATGAGGTTTGAGAGTCATAAAGGGCTCCTATTTTATCTATGTGACAAGTGTGTGGCCGATGTGTCTAACCTACTTAGAAGAGGAAACGTCCGAAAATACCAGAATGCTGCAGTCAACGACTAAGCCAGCATGTAAACGTTTTAAAGAAATAGCTTTAACTTTTAAGATTAAAAAATTATTTTAGATTGTAATGTAATTAATTAACAGTTTCTGTATGCATTGCATTTCTCTTAAGCTCTTAAGAAAAATGTGTGTGTGTGTGTGTGTGTGGGAGAGAGAGAGAGAGAGAGAGAGAGAGAGAGAGAGAGAGAGAGAGAGAGAGAGAAGGACACTGCATTCAGAGGAATTTAAACATTTCGAGTCTGAAACCATTTTAGGTGAGAAGTCATGGGCACCGTGTTCTGTAATAGAAAAAGTCACTTTAAGAGAAAAAAAAAAAGTATCAAATTCTGTTTCTGCTTTTCAGTTACTGTTTCAGCATTCTGTTTCAAATCCTGCTTCAAGTTATAGCCCCCAAACTCTCACTCATATTGAAAGTATAATGTCTCATATGAGAAGAAAGCCAAGTGTTAGTAGCCTTATTCTAGTCATTAAATTTCTAAGTGTGTGAATCCATATGAAAAATTCTATCCTAAAGTGAACTCTATATGATAAGCAGTGGAGATGATTTAAAAAATGTAAACTTTTAACAAAAAAAGAGTAAGGTGTAAAAATGTAAAAGGAGCAAATTTAAAAATTCAGTGATATTCTATCTTTTTAGCTCTCAGAAGCATATGTTTTATAAAAGCAAAATAGCATTCTCCAATGGAATAAATCTAAAAAACCCCCCACCCTCAACATTCTCTTTACAGTACACACAAAGGACTCTTCCATTGCATAAGAAAAGTAGGTAAAAAGCTATCTTGGGGGAAATAATTCTCTGGTGCTCAGTGAAGGCAAATGTTACCTGAAAAAAATATATACTTATAAAACATAAGTGAAAAAAAGATTGTAACTTATATCTTAATTATAAAGTTTTAAAAGCCATTCTTTTTCTCTTTTGGCTCTAAATCCTGCTCCAACAACCACACTAACTCTGTGGTATTTCCTGTCATTTTTACCAGTTATTCCTGACAATTGCATTTTAAAGCTCTTAATTACTTATAATTCCTGGGCCATTAGATTAATTTTTAGACAAATACCATCAAGTTCTATGAATGAGAACATACATGAAAATGTATAATAGATTTATAAGAAAAGAATCCATGGTAGAAAAAGACATAAAAATGAACTACACATAAAAATTCTTATAAATGCTTACGCATGAAATACGTGTAAAAAGTAGTAACGTGAAATAACAAGTAAGGTATATGTTATCTTTTAAGCTGTCTGAGGACCAAGTGGTATATTAACAGCATACCACTAAGCTGACATTGTTTCAGAGTTTTTCCAGAAGTTGTTTGTAAAACAAATAATAGCTACATTATGGCAGTAGCTGTATTAAAATATTTCATCTGGAGATCTGCTTTCTTTTGTAACTAAAGGCAACTTGCTGCAGTAACTTCTGAAATGGTTAAAAATTGGCAGATGCAAAATAACAGGGCATAACTTGAAGCAAAGTTAAAAACTGATACATTTTGACAGTGGAAATACTATGATCAATACATTACCATTCTCATCGCAATGAAAAAAAAAATTCTTTCTTTTGTATTTATATGAGATGATAGATGACAACTAAACTTATGATAATCATTTCACAATATATGAAATTGCTGTATATCAATTATATCTCAATAAAACTGGAAAAAATTCACCAGAAAGGGGAAAAAATCAATAATTTGATGGTGAACTCACTGACAATAGTTTGGTGTCATATGTAACAAATGAATCCATTTGTATTAACACTTATTATCCTACTTCTTCAATTGTTACAATCTGTACATTTTGATAGTCTGTCACGTGGGAAGCAGCTTGATTAATATTTTATACAAACAAGACCACTACTAAACTTTAAAAATTAGGAGCTCTGGACATAGACCTTGAACAACTGTTTTCTGTGGGAGGCTCCTATGTACACGATACAATCGTATCGACTCAAGAGTAACACTGAAGCCTGGAACTGTTCAGTCAGCATTTTAAACTATTATGAGCTACCTTCTGAACCATTGCCAAGTTAATAGACAATGAAAGATAATGAGCTTGAAATTGGGTGTTAAATTGCATTTTTGGTTCTCTCCCTTTTTCTTGAAGTTTAACTGTTTCCTGCAGAAACAAAGTCATGTTTTGATGTATCACTATGTAAACATGTATTTTAGGCCATGAAAGGGGAAGGAGAGACACAAGGAGGCAAACTGTATTTCCTGTAGGGAGGTTATACATTAACATAGGAAAATTAAAATATGCTGGCTTATAAAACTGCTAGATTGTAAACTATACTGAATTTATGGAAAATGAAGATGCTACATTCAAAGAATATAAAAAGGTATATTACTCATGGCCTAGAGCCACCTTCAAAATCATAATGCATATTTATCCCAGTTCAATTACTCAGACATTTAGTCGGGCCTCTTTGTGTTGTTGTTTCAACAATGTAAAATTCTTGATTCAAACAAGGGAAGAAAGATAATGAATAAAAGGATTGAACGATGATGCTATTTAAATTATGTTCTTTTTGCCTTTGCCATTCTGAGAAGAGACAGACAGTCTAATTCAAAACAAACTGAGGGTTTTTAATGTCATTTTATTAAACTGGGCAAGGGAAACATTTGATTCTTGAAAGTCATCTTTAAAACAGTTTTAAAATGAACACCAAACTTCACTAACGTTGTTCACCTGAATTTTTGAGGACTGAAGATTTCATTATGATGGGAAGAAAGGCTTATCCTCATTAGTATAATTGTAGAATCTCTCCTTTACTTCCTTTTAAACTAATGAGTTACATTAATCCAGGTTCATTTTTATAAGCCTCTTGGGGCTAAATGTAAAGGACAGTCATCTTAGAAAACAATAAATTTTTTAAAAAAAGCATGTACCGTGCATTAAGTGCACGTATTTCATAAGACCTAGGTTAATACAACTGGCATCCAGTTTAATTAATCCTTGTTAGTGTAACAACTAATATCCCTCCCTAGCATGTTTCCTTTAAACATTAGTATGTTAATTAAATGTTTTTTTTAAAGATTTTTTTTCTTTGTACTTCAATATGGCATTTATACTGCTTAAATCGCTTCTCAATAACTACCTTATAGAGATGTTTCCTTACAATATCAGGTCTCCTGCAGAAATTCTGGAGCCTTTTTGAAAGCTGTTCAGGTGTAGAATACAGATATTCAGCTGCAGGAAAAACAGATACATTTTTAATGAAACAAAAACCTCAAAGCACACACTCGATATTAGTCACTTTACTAATTAAAAATGCATATTGCTCTGTGCCGCCTCATGTTTTACATTATTTAAGCATGATTTTATAAGGTTACCTCAGCTCACAAGGATGTTTAATGCTAAATAAGACTGTGTAGTTGTGCTGTTTAGACATCTCCTTTGGGTGATTAAAATACATTATTCTAATGTAACACAATGCATATGTGATATATTTAGTGATGAGATTTTTTTTTCCAAAAGAACTGGTACTATTGCCGTATGTACCCTGTACAACAGTTGCATGTTATTAACTAGTCAATTGTTTAAATAATTTGGTGTGACTCTCAGTCCTCGATCTTTCTCTGTGTATATCATTAAAAAATCTGTAAGCAATTGCAGCAACGCTGACCTGCTTATAAAAACCCATCAGTATGGGATGTGTATGCTAACAATGAAGAATGCTATTTGAAAACTTGCTTTTTTGTTATCTTAAAAGAACAGATGGCAAATATAAGCCTACTCTAATGTATTAAAACATAAAATTTTCCTTAACACTAACATGTTGACTTGCCAAATAAACAATTGCTCCTGCCTAAGTTTATTTTCAAACTTTCGCATTTAGCACGAATCATGTATTAAATCCCAACAAAGACGAGAGAACATTAAAGCAGCTACCTGGAAATATTTCGGGATAAACCAAATCTTTGGGACAAAGTGGGTAACAACCACAACACACAGCTTCCAACCTAAAGAAATGTTAGAAAGAGGACAAAGATGTATTAAAAAGGCATTCCTGTCATAGCCAGAAAGCAGTCTGGTTAGCCTAAGTGAACAGCATGAGCCCAGAGTTAGCTGGTGTGGAAATCATGGTCGGCAGTACAAGCCTAAAAGCCAAAGTTGCTCTTTTAAAAGATTTTATTGATCATATATGCATTTCATAGAACAGAACCAACAGCATATGTTTTGTTCACTGAATTAATCAAAGCGCAGCTCTGCATTTTTTTTTTTTGTTTTTAAAATACTGTTTAACACATTTTATAATCAGCAGATAAACACATGTAACAACATGGTAAAGTATGGGCAGCTTTTCTTAATAATGCTGCGAAGCCCCCGAATGTTCATTTTCCAAAAATGTTTAAATAAAATAGCAAATACTTAACTTCAACACTGTAGCTGTAGAAATGATCGAGGCACTTTTCAAAGCATCAGGGGAAAAAAAAATTACAATCTGTTGTGATGGGGCATTTTCATTTTGTAGCTCGTGCCTCCAAACAACTTGTTATTATGCGGAATAGCAAACTGGTCCCCCTTTTATTGAAAAATGCTCATGAAGATTACCTCCATGGACATTTTGCTTTCTGGACTAAAACATGCGGCTCTTTTTCCATTTTATCAGAAGAGAATACTTTTGTTATTAAACAAAGAAACCAGAAAGTTTCGCTTTGTGACAGGCTTTCCCCAAGGACCACCTACAGGTTTTTTTTCCGCATTACTGCAGTGAGAGTTAAGCAGAGGGAAGGTAATGCACCTTGAAGGCTGTGTCTGTCCTGGATAATGGCTACTGATCTGACATATTAAACCTTAAAGATACCACTGTCATTTCTGTTGGCTAGGAATTATGAAGTGAAATTCAAAACACTCTTTAAATATGTTTATTTTATGAGACACTTTGAATTGCATCCAAAACGTTGACCAGAAGAGGAATTTTATTTTGAACTGCAGATTTTTTTTTTTCAACCCAAGAATGAGTTGAAGTTATGTCAATGTTTACCTCGTTTACTTACAGTGACAAAGTACAGGCAATTTGTTTTTATTTATTTATTTATTTGTAATTTAAACTGTTTTTAAGTGGGCGATGTGTTCCCTGTTTTACTGTGGACTGAAATTAGTTTTAATGAAAAAGTATTTACTTTGAGCTGCAAAGTTTAGAAAAAGACTGAGTTCAAAGTTTTTCTTGAGAACTGATAGGAGTTACAAAATGACACGGTGGCAAGGCACAGGGCCTAGTTAGCAATTATTAATTTCAAACTCCAAACTAATATCTAATATTCTCTCCTCTACATACAGAGGGTCCGCATAGAAATTCTGGTCGGAAGCGCAGCTCCGAACGGCTCTGTGACTGCATTATAAAACATTCACAAAAGTTTTGAGCACGTAAACCAGAGATATTCTTTATGAACGAAAAGAAAATATGCACTTTATCTGAAGACACTCTGTTTAAAAATGCAGTGCTAGTCGAAAAGCAAATACATACGAACATTCTCTTATAATTACATAAAATCAAAAGAGTGAAGTCACAGGCATTTCAGAAAGTGCACATGTTATCTGCTTTTTAATAATGGATTTGAATTAGAGTGTTCTGTTCCCCGAAAGAAAATTGCAGGCCAAGTAACATTTTGAGTCATCGCATGAGCATGTACCATGCCATTTCCAAAAAAACCTCTGCTAATTAAAATACAGTGAGATAGGAATGACATTATTTGATTTAGGATGAAAAAAATTCACAAATCTGATTTCAACTTGTATTGGTAAATTATCTTATGTTTCTAATTCATTAAAAAACAAAACAAAAAACCCCACCACTTTTGAGTATAATTTTGACTTGTTAAAAGACCAAATCTTACTGTATACATTATTTGTATTTGGACTATGTTTTAAAATATAGTATATAGGTTGTACTATTTTTTTTAAAAAATTTACATAATTCATTCCCATAAGTTTTTCATATTTTATTTTGGGGAAAAAACCCTATCATCTTGTGACAATAATACAATTATTCATCATTTCAATTCTTATGCGCTACCAGTTAAATAATAA